TTTCTTTAAATCCACTTTTCCCTCCTGTACTCCATAAAATTCCAATTTTTTTTAATGATTTAAACTCAGGTTGGCGGTTTGTTTGTTTTGTTTTGGTTGGTTGTTTTTTTTTTTTTTTTTTTTTTTTTTTTCTCCCACAAGCAAAGCAGCCATTCATACAAATTTGGGACTTGTCCACAAAAGTTTGTTCCTGATTGTTGCTGTGAGAAAAAAAGCTGCCTGACATCATAGGCTTGGTGGTTAGAGTAAGGCCAGTGGAGCAGTGTTGTAGGATTAGAGAAGCCGCACTATGGTTCCTGCTAAAAAGAACTGTCCATTTGTTGTATTTCACCTAGAATTTTTTTGTAGGCACAGCCCAAGCAATATTTCTTTCATTTTTTTAAAAATGGAAGTTATAGATGGCTTTTACAAAATGATTATTTAGCTGGGTGTTGGTGGCACACGCCTTTAATCCCAGCACTCGGGAGGCAGAGGCAGGCGGATCTCTGTGAGTTCGAGGCCAGCCTGGTCTACAGAGTGAGTGCCAGGATAGGCTCCAATGCTACACAAAGAAACCCTGTCTCAAAAAAAAAAAAAAAGATTTATTTCATTCATTGTGGCTTCTGGGGATTGAACTAGGATTTTTTCAAGTTTTCGAACTGTTTGGTCGTGCTGAACCATAACCCCCATCCCATGTATACCTTTTTTTTTTTTTTTTTTTTGAGTCTAACCCGTCTTCCTATGCATGTTTTGTTAACATTGCCTCGTAGGTTTCAAAACAATTTTAAGTTTCCTGATATTTTATCTTTGTGTATGCACCCCTTTGTTTATTAATGTGCACCACCTGTGTGCAGGTGCTTGTCGAGGCCAGGAGTTGAAATAGCAGTCTGTGAGTGTCGTATTGTGTCATGGTGGGAACCAAACGGAGCTCCTCTAAAGGGGCAGCTTGTGGTCCTAACCACTGAACCTTCTCTCCAGCTTCTATCTGATGTGTTTAGGTTCCACTGATGGTGCTGATACTGCTCTTTATGCAGCAGTGAAAACATTTAATTTTTAGTATTTCGGCATTAAAACCTTCTCGTTTGTTGTTTTTGAGATAGGGTCTCCTATGAAGCCCTGACTATTGTGGAACTCTAAAGGTCCACCTGCCTCTGCCTCCTGAGTATTTTAGGCATAAACTTGAAAAAGACAGTAAGGTGGGAAGATGGCAGTGTGGGGTGTGTGGAGCTCACTGAGTCCTTTAATCTTGGAGCACAGATTGCACAGGTGCAGCAGCATGTTGTGGGAGACATTGGGTTCCACTCAGAACTAACTGATAAAATTCAGTTTTTCTTTTCTTTTTTTAAGATTTTATTTATTATGTATCCAACATTCTGCTTCCATGTATATCTGTACACCAGAAGAGGGCACCAGATCTCATAATGGATGGTTGTGAGCCACCATGTGGTTGCTGGGAATTGAACTCTGGACCTCTGGAAGAGCAGTCAGTGCTCTTAACCTCTGAGCCATCTCTCCAGCCCAAAATTCAGTTTTTCCTTACTCAATTTATCTTTATAAACAGAGCACATGTGTTTTCGGGTTGTTTCTAACAGGGAGACTACTGCTTCTTCCTCTTTGAACTCTTATCAACTACCTTGTCTAGTTTTTCCGCTTTGTTTGTGTCTACTCCTTGGAGCGCCTGTGGAGGTCAGAAGACGGCTTAGGGGACTGTGCCGTTTTTTATGCCAGGTCCAATGGTCAGACTCATGTCCCGGGTTTACACAGCAAGTGCTTTTCCCTACTATACCATGTTCACTTGGCAAATTTATTGTACTTTATTTATAGCACATGTGTGTAAGCACGTGCCCACCACAGCATCTGTGTAGATCTCTCATAATGTTCAAGTACTCAGAATCAACTCATGTCATCAGGCTTGGCTGCAGGTGCCTTAACCTGCATTTCAGTTCATAACAGTAGCAAGATTAGCATTGTGACGGAGCAATAAAGTAATTTTATGGTTGGGGGTCACCACAGCCTAAGGAACTTTTTGGGATGGTTGAGAACCACTGCTGTGGGCTCGTTTACATTTGTTTTCATAGGGCTCTGTTTGCCATTCTCCAATACAGGGTCTAAATCTGGTTGTAAAGATAGGGCTTCGTGGTAGAACACTTACCTACCCTGCCTGGCTTCCATCCCTAGCATGGCAAGGTTTGGGGAACACAGACAATTGTTAATGGTAGTTTGGGTTAAGTCTGTACTGGCTGTCAACTTTAACAGGTGACTTGGCCTCGTAATTGTGCTTTCCTGACAAACAGTTGTGGTGACATTCACTTTCAAGCTGAAAGACAACTAATGCACACAAGAGCTCTGGAAGCAGAGGACCTGAGGGAACGCAGCACTGAAAGCTGCTGGTCCTTGGTGTGTATGTGTTGGTGGCCAGGGCAGGCTGTGGGTGGAGCTTACTGACCACTGCCTTCCCATCTTCCTGATGCCACAGCCTCAAGCCAGGGCCTCATATACACAGAGTAATGTCAGCGTCCCTCATAGCTGCCTCTGGATCCATTCTCCTTCTGATATGTGATGCTATCTTTTTAACAAACAGACTTTTTGTTTTGTTTTGTTTTGTTTTGAGACAGGGTCTCTCTGTAGCTTTGGATGTCCCGAACTCGCTCTGTAGACTAAGCTGGCCTTGAATTCATAAAACTCCACCTGCCTCTGCCTCCCAAGTGCTGGGATTATAAAGTGGTACCCCATCAACACTCGGCAAATGTAATTTTTTTCTTTTATTAATTTTAATTTTTACATTCCCATCCCAGTTCCCCCTCCTCTCTTCCCACTCCCCCACTCCCCCCTCCTCCTGTCTGCTCTACAGAAAGGGTAAGGCCTCCCCTTGGAAGCCTAACTATTTTCTTTGAAAAAATGTACTGAAGCAGTTTCCCACTAAACATGATGGAATTGGCCATTTTCTCTCCAACTGGCTGATCCTGTGATTCTGTCTCCACCCCCCAGTTCTGGGGATTATAATTGTTTTACCCCCAGAGACAGCTCCCAGCCCTGGCACTTTGCTAGATTACTCTCCTAGACAGACGATAGTCAGCACACACTGTCACCTGTCAGCAAAGGCCCATAGAACAGCAATAGCCAGCAATGCTCCTGCCGTAGACCAAGAATACCACACTAGGGCATCCTGAACCTTATTTCAGGAGCAGTCTTACACATAGTAATTCCTGGAGGTGGAATTAACACCAGTCTTGATCTTAACCCTAATGCTGCACTCATGGGCTATTCTTTCATTAGCTTTTTTTTAAAAATGCTGCAAAAATCAAACACAAACTTTCCCACCAGACTAACAATGACAAACCCTTTGTTGCTCCTTTTTTTTGTAAAGAAAAATGGGTATTCATATATTACGGACAACATGCTTAACACTTAATGCAACCATTCCATGTGTGCAGTGAAGTTTATCAAGTGCTTCCCGTCTTCCACATTCAGCAAGCATTTCTAACTTTGCTGCCCTTTTATTTACATCTATGGCCAGGGCTATGTGTGGTGGCATCTGTGTGGAGGTTAGAGGACAACTTGTGGGGTCCATTCTGTCCCTCCACCCTATGTGTCCTAAGTATTGAACTCAAATTAGCTGACTTTGGAAGCAAGGACCTCTATCAACTGTGCCGTCTTTGTGAGCACTCTGCTAACTTCTGTTATGCTGTGAAAACAAGGATTTAGCCCACATCTGCTTCCTGTTTTAGCTTGTCAGGCATATATATATGCCTGACAAGCATATATACTGTGGAGAGGCAAGAGAGCCACCAGGGGGTCCAAGGCAAGCTAGAGATAGAAAGCAGGACCTTGACTCAAATAATGGGGTTCCTTTGTTGTTTTTGGGTTTCTCTGTATAGCTCTGGCTGTCCTGGAACTCACTCTGCAGACCAGGTCAGTCTTAAACTCTGCCTGCCTGTAAAAATATATGATTAAGGCACTGGTTGCTCTTCCAGAGGTCCTAAGTTCAATTCCCAGCAACCACGTGGTGGCTCACGACCATCTATAATGAGATCTGGTGCTCTCTTCTGCCCTGTAAGCAGACATGCAGGTATAACACTGCACACATAATGTTTTAAAAAATTTATGATTAATCTTTATGCCGGTCAGTGCCTGCCTTTAATCCTAGCACAAGAAACCCTGTCTCAAAAAAAACAAAAACAAAAACTTTGTGTATATTTGTGTGGAGAATGTACGTGCCCTCAGAAACTAGAAGTGTGTCGCACAGTTGGGTCACTGTGTGGGTGATGGGAACTCAACCTAGGCCCCTCCACCTCTTCTGAGCCTGTTGACATTCATGAAGTGTTCAAATCCATGCTCCACTGGAGTGCAGGCACACATAAATCGTAATCTCAAGGGTTCTCTAGCTCATCAGAAACCATGAGACACATCTGCAGCAGAGGCAGAGGTTGTAGCCCTGAAGGAGGTATGCTAAAGTGCCCTCTTCTGAAATGGTATCACTAATTTAGGAAAACGGGGCTCAGAAGGCTCCACCCACTACTCCCTGAGAATCTATAGGCAGGTAATGGTTACTGGGGGGTTTTCTTCCATTGTGTTTCGTAAGCCTTGTTGGTTTGAATCAGACCAACATGCTCCTGTATCTGGGTGCCCAGCTAGTAACAGTCTGTGTGCACTCACAGGGAACTACTGGCTCATGGCAGTTTTTTGTTTTGATGATAAAACATCAAAACACTGCATTCATGTTGAATATCTGCATACATTCCACAGCCAAGTGTACACACAGCCTTTAAAAGTGAATTCTTTAACCCCAACACTCAGGAGGCAGAAGCAGAGGCAGGATCTCTGAGGGTTTGAGGTCAGCGGGGTCTACAAAGCAAGTTGCATGACAACCAGCTAAGGCTGTTATACAGAGAAACCCTGTCTCAATAACCACACATAAAAAAGTGAGCTCCTGTTTTCATCTTCAGCCATTGTTGCCCTGGCTCCCCGAGCTGCCACATCCCTTCTGTCACTCTTCAGTTACTGCTCAATTAGAAAAAGACTTTCTTGGTAGCTGTTTATTGATCAATAGTTTAATATAAAGAGATTTTTAGATCTTCAGATTTTTGCCCAGAGAGAATCACAAGCATTACAAATATTTTTTAAAAAGGGGGGCAGGGTGATGAACCAGAAGGAGATTGATCTAGAAGTAGTGGTGTTTGAAAATAAATTAACAAAAAAAATTTTAGTATTACCATTTATTATTGACAATGACTTAGTTTACTTACATTCCGTGGGTGAAAAGGTCCCAGCTAAACCAAGAGTGGAAGCGATGCCAATGCTTTCCACCAGGGCCAGCTGAGCATCCTGTGTCTGTGCACAGCGGCACAGCTCCAGGAGACCTGTCACCTCTCTTCTCTCCCTTCCAAGGAGGTGGGAACTGACTGACTGTATTAGGCACTCCAGGGACACCAGCCTGCAGGCACCCACGGGTGATGTCCTGTAGTGTGGTCAAAAGCTACCTCCTTAGACACATTAAATGTTTGGGGCTCATTTTTAAGTCTAATGCTTAAAAATAGTTTAAATTTCCTAAGCTGTCCAATTTATACAAGGGGAAGTCTAGAACTGTCTAGCCAAGCCAGAGGCAGATATGCATCACCAAACAGGGCTGTGATCTTTGCCGGTTATAAGACTGACAGCATCTGTCTCAGACAAGTTTCTAAACTGCTAGATAAGTAGATGCAACTGAGAAACTGAAATGAAAATCATATAGTGTCATATCAACCAAAGGAAATAAACTAACAGCATCACTGTGGAGAAAGCAGTAGTTACGGGAGGTGGGTGCTACGTGTGGCAGGCTGAGAACGCTGAGTCGGTTGTGTGGGGTGGAAGCACTGGCTTTCTCTCTGGTGCTTTTAGCTCCGGGGCCACTCTAAGGCCTCTCTGGCATGGCTGTCCAGGGCTGTCCAAAGTATCTGAATGAGCCAGCATGAGAATTGGCCATGCTTTCTGTTTCTCTTTTATCACAATATAAAAATTGGAGGTGATGGGGCTGGTCTCTCTTGATGGATGGCAGAGCACAGCATTGTCACTAGCAGTTCAGCACAACCGGGGCCACCACCTGGAGTCTCTTGTCTTCTTAACTACTGCTGCCACATTCTTAGCCACCATATCTCGGCCCACTGGAGTTATCAGAAATTCCAAGTTTTCAAAGCAGTTCTCAGTATTTTCAGTATATATGTTGGGATTTATAATGATTTGTAGCCAGAAAAGGTTCAGCACCTCCCACACCTTTAAGGAAAAAAAAAAAAATGGCAATGGCAAGAAAGTTAAAATGAGGGCTAAAGCTAACTAAATGCAGCTTGCAAACTTAGGGCCCCTTTTGTGGGAACTGATAATAGTCATCCCAGACCATACTGGTACCAAGAAAGGAATGAGAGAATTCTGCATGTATTCTGTGTCTGAGAAAGAAAGAAAATGACAGTGGGCTGGGGACACAACTCAGTGGCAGACCACTTGCCTGATATGACCAAGGGCCCTGGGTTTAGTCCCCAGCATCGTCATTAAGCATTTGGAAAGAGTTATTTCCATAAACACAGGAGAGGCTGCAGTTCCTTCAGTGGTCAAGAGCACTGCTATTCTTCCAGTGAGCTGGGTTCAGTTCCTAGAACCCACATGGCAAGACAAAGTGGGACAGAGGAGAGTGAGTGGGGTGGGCACTGAGTGAGGGCAAGATGTACTACCATGTATCATTAAAACAACATCAACCTTTTGCTTATTCTCAGGTCTACATCAAGGAGGGTACTGCCTAGAAAACATGGGGCTCTCCAGGGGTTCAAACCAGATTGCAGCTGCTTCCCCAGAGTTGACCTGCTGCTCACATTCACTCAGGGCACTCCTGCCTTCCACGGACGGACACCACACTGACCCTGCAAATGCTCACTTACGCTGACACTGGTCCATTTCCTGTTCTTGGCATCTCTGTGCTCTGTTGGTCCAACTCAGACAGCAACTTTAAAATGTTGAGTGCAGCCTAGAAGGGTGGAAGGAAGGAATAGTCAGCCAGAGAACAAGCCAGACTCTCCTGGAAAGAGATATCAAAAAATGGATAGCAATGTCTTAAAACTTTTTTTCCCCTCCCAATGTAATGTTTGAATCACCTACCCCGCCCCCAACCAGCAAGATGGTTTCTGTGTAGCCCTGGCTACCTTAGAACTCATTCTGACCCCTTTCCCCCCTAACTCCGAGATGTCTGCTCTAGCCAGTGACAAATCTCCTGTATGCAGACTCCTCTCCTTTAGGGTTTAACGTCACCTGAACAGACTTGGTGGGGGGGGGGGGCAACTTTCTACAGCTCCCAGAATAGAGGCTGAAGAGTTTAGACTGTTTGAAAGGTTACAGGAGAACGTGTCCCTCTTCCTGAGACCACCAACAGTCTGAACAAGGCAATGTGCCAGGCTCAGCCAGCTTCTCTCCGCAATCTTGGGGCCCACATACCATATCGTGACAGGACTCCACATCCTTGCCAATGCCGTGGCTAACAAGGGGTGGCTGTGAGGAGCAGTTGATGAGAGACACACACTCGTTCTTGTTGTTCTTGGGGAAGTCTTTGTATTCAACCTAAGAGAGAAGAGCACACACCCAGCCATGTGAACCCCAGCCCAGAATCCTCCAGGGTCCTACTTAGGTTTTAAATGCTGCTTCCTAAAGAAAAGTGTCTTCTCTCCCTAGAGACCTGTCATGCTTCTTACTCCATAATCCCCCTCCACATACACTTGCCCTGGTGCGTGCGTGCATGTGTGTAAAGCACGTGGCATGCCGGGTATGCAGGTAAAAGGACAACTTGCTGCAGTTAGTTTTCTTTCCACCAACAATCCAATTCCAGACTGTCGGGTTTGGTGACAATGCACCTTTATGCAGTGAGCCACCTTGTCACACCCCAGACCTGCCCCTGCCTCTCTCACTTCCTGCACTGAGCCACACTTTACACTCAGACCATATGATCTCACTTTTCCTGGTTTCTGTAGTACTGGGGGACAGAACCTGGGTTCTTCATATAGAAGATGCTGTAAAGGTCATTCTCTGAGGCCCAGAGATGACCACAGAAAGGCAAACAGTTACCTGGAATCCCTGGGCTCTGGAAAGGTAGTACAGCTGCTCAGAGGGTCTTGTGCGAGGTCCATGGGGTACGTGTCCTGAAGAGATGTTACTCTTTAAAATGGTCTCGGCTGTGGGCGAGGTGCCCCCGTACAACAACTCTCGAGCTATCATGGCAGTTACCGTGGCCTTGGCAGGGTTCGGAGCTGCCCTGGTGAAATCTTTGGTGTGGTGTCCTTGACTAACCCCAACAGCCTGGGCAACCTCTGGCACCATGGGGAGGATCCCGGCTGGCAGCTGCTGATGGCTCAGATAAGGCATCCTGAACTCATCCTCTTTATGACCTGTGAGGGACATACAGGTCACCACAGCCACCCCAACACCCAAGAAGCTACAGTGCCCTCTTCACCACCTCAGCACATACAAGCTCCTGTGCTTCAGTCACATAATAACCATGCAAACCCAGACACGGGATCAAGAGGGTCACACTTACTAGTTGCATTTTCATCCCCAGGGCTAGGTTCAAAAAACGTTACTTTCCTTCCGTCTCCTGGTTTCTTTACTGGGGTCTTAAGAAAGAAAAATGGCAGTGAGCATGGACAAGCGCTGGGGTCTGTGTGCATTTTATCGCCACCCATACACCACACAAGCTCTCATGCCTGCCCATGCTGGCATTTACATGGAGCAGATCATGAATGCAGAGCTGGCTCTGTGCCAAGGACCAGGAAGTGCTGGTTTAGAAGTGCTCAGCCCAGTGGGAGAATAGATAGGGTCTGCACTGGTGCTGAGGGGTGCCTTACATTACCTAGAACTAACATCCAGAAATGCTTCCACAAAGAACACAGAGGCATTTAGTGCATGACCGTCAGACACAAGGCAAGGGGGTTTTCAAATGGGAAATCTGAAAGCCAAATCCAGGTTTATGCAACTCCATATGGAATGTCTGCGTCCCAGGTAGTGACTTTGCAGGCACAGTGGGAGCTGTTTCTAGTCATGAAATGCAGAACTCAGAAGAGGCTCAGTCCTACTTTAGTGAACCCCAAGGACAACGGCTGGAGCCAGCAATAGTGGCTGATGTTCTCCTGGAGTCTTGTTGACCACTCTGCAGAGTAATATTCAACTAAGAATCACAGGAGAATTCTCAATCTGAACTATATAGATTTGGCCTTTTGTTAACAATGCTATCTTGTCCCAGAGAAGCCAAAGCCAGATCCATAGGAGCAATATGTCATGCAAACCCCTTTGAAGCACAGATGGTAGCCATACGTATTCATTCCAATCCCAACTACCCATCAGGAGAGAACAGGACATCCTGCAGAAATGCACATCCAGCCCACAGCGACACTAAACAGACTTAACCAAACCACTCGTGGGACACGGTGAACTGGACAGGAAACTTCCCTCCTGCAAACACTATCAAGTGGACGAACCCCAGGGGGCAGGCTGCTTACTGCAGGGAAGATGAAGCCTTGCCCCAGGCTTGCCCATGCAGGGAGCTAGGCCACCTGGCAGTGAGAGTCCCAGCAGTCACCTTCTCTTCTGATTTGAGTGCTGGCTTGGCAGGCTGCGCCTGGGGAACTTTGAACCCCAAGATCTCCAGCATGTTCTCAGCAGCATTGCGCTTGGCCACCTTCTTATTGGTACCCGCTCCTTCTGCAGTGTGGTTCCCAACCTTTACCTGCAGAAAACAACAAAGACCTGTGGCTGAACCTTCTAAGACACAACAGAAACTGGTTGCTGTGCTGCCAAAAGGCCCCGGGGATGACTTTGCTAAACAGGATGGAAAAGGTGTTTTGTGCAGCCAATTCTGAAACTATTGCTGTGACGGCCACATTCAAGTTAGAAACGTTTAAAATCTACAATAAAGAATACTGTATGGAAAATGTGTGCCTCGATCCTTTCCATCAACATATTTATAAAGACAGGGATCTAACCATAGTGATGCCTCCCTCCCATACCACTCTTCTGAGGGCTGGCTGTTGGACAAATTCCAGCATACTCCATTAAAGCCGTTCTGACCACAGGTGTCTGGCTGCTAAAATCAAAATCCGTGCCAGAACACTGAAAGGGTTAACAGGACTCCTTCCCTGCCCTAGGCAAATTGCAGGTCCAACTTCCTTCTTAGAAAATGGACCCTCCTCATTTTCTTGCCTTTGTTTGTGTTTGGATTTTAAGACAGTCTCACTATGTAGACCAGGCTGGCCTCAAGCTCAGAGGGATACACCTACCTTTTGCCTCTGCCTCCACATTACTGAGAGTAAATGCACAAACCATCCAGTGAACTGCAACATCGCCTCACCTTAATGGCCAGTGGACCATCAGGGACTGATATGTTGGGAAGGGGCTGCCCACTGGTCCACCAACCCACCTGCATCACAAACTCCCTGCGGCGTGGAAGGCCTCGCTCGGTGAGGAGCGTGTACTCTGGCTCCTTGTCCTTTTTGGCCTGCTGGATCTGAGCCAGTCTGCTAATAGGATTCATCCCCTGGCCATAATCCGGGGCTGTCTGTAGCTGAAGAGCAAACAGTGCAGAGACGTCAGCACATGACAGGAGACAAGAAACTTAGTGCTGGTGTCAAACCTTTTAAAAACTGAATATGCTTTATGATCACGTTGAGATGATTTCTATGTCTTAGAAAATGGCCCTCCACATTTCACTGTGAGGGGAAAGCACCAAAGTAATGTCTTCACAGTAAATGAAGAGGTAAAATATATACACATAACCAATGCTAAAACTTCCCCCAAAATTTGCTCAAAAATTTGCAGTATCTCCAAGGAATTCTTCCAGGACCCTCCAAGGACAACAAACCCCGGGCATGCCAATCCCTTACACAATGTGCAGCGTTTGCATGCGCCCTCCGCCATTCCCTGCATGCTGACGATGGCTCCTCGTGACTGGGGACATTAACACACTACGATTGTCATATGAAGGGCTGTAGGACCACACTGTTTGGTCAAGACTATCAAAAGGGTAACTGGAGTCAGAGCCCTCACCCATAGTTGGCTCAATCTGCAAGGGGACCCAATCACTAGAACCCAGAAACCACTTAAAGCTTTTGCAAGCCCTTAATCTGAAGGTGCAACTCATTGGTAGAGGACATGGCCAGCAAACCTGAGGCCTGAATTCAATCCCCAGTACTACACAACCAAAACAATATTATGAATTAAACATCCGACAGCTGGAGCCTGGGACACCCAGGAGACACCCTCCCCAGAGCACTTGTTAGATGACTTAAAGTGATTTGACACCGCAAATAAAAAAGATAAAATGGCAGAGACATGTTAAAATGTAAGAAAATAAGGAGTGGGTGGCCCAAGTAGTCCCTCTTTGGTGCTGAAAAGGAGTCAACATTTTTTGTTTTTAACCAAGATTTGTTTATTTTTATCTTATGTCTGCATGGATTACCACATCTGTGCCTGGTGCCCATGGAGGTAAGATGAAGAACTGGAGTTACAGACAGTTGTGAGCCACCGTGTGAGTACCAGGAACTGAATGAACCCAGGTGCTCTGCTAGAGCAGCCAGTGCTTTTAACTGCTGAGCCATCTCTCCAGCCCTCGTGGGTCAATATGTTTTTTGTTGTTGTTGTTAGTGGTGGTGGTTTTTCAAGACAGGGTTTCTCTGTGTAACAGCCCTGGCTATCCTGGAACTCACAGAGATGCACCTGCCTCTGCCTCCCAAGTGCTGGGATTAAAGGCGTGCTCCACCTCCACCCAGCAGGTCAATTTTAATAGACCCATTAAGTTTCATTCAAACATCTCAAAATCTCTCGTGGGCTCTGCTACCTAATACCCAGCTCTGTGTATGCCACTTCCACCTTGAACCCTGAGCTAGAGGTAGCTCAAGACAGCAATCTACAGATGGCCATACAGCCCCACCCATTCCACAGAGACTGACAGGCTACGATGCCCACCCCCATAGGAACCTGACACTTGGATGTGTCAGTGGCCTCATCTTTACTCAACCTGTACCTCACATGTGGGACCTGAAAGCATCCACTGCCCCTGTGGTGCTGGACAGCAGCCAGGCTTCTACCCAGCCACTGCCGCACTGCAGCCTGTCATACAGGCACGTACCTTACATGTGGGCTGACTTTTCTTCTTGATTCTGGGTTTTACTCGCTCCACAGCAGGCAGAGGCGGCAGCCTCCTCAGCTGCTCCAGCACCGCCCTTGCCGCATTCTTCTTGGAGATCTTCTTGCTTTTCCCTTCTCCTTCCCCTACAAACTCCCCGACTGAAACCCTGGTCACAAAGTTCTTCATGTGGGGTGGGCCACTCTCCCGGGCCACCTGTGTCAGAGGGAAAGACTGAGTGAAAGCGTGACAGACGCTTGTTAAGAGTGGTGAGGCACACTGCTTGGCACACTTGCCTCAAAGACATGCATGTGGAGGGGATCTAAAGACCACCTGTGAACACAGGTGCAGAATATCAAAGGGGAGAGGAAAGGATAGGTTTTATTTACAGCAGAGCAGAGGCTTGAAAATTCAAGCGATTGTCAGTGACTCCCACCCTCACAGATGACAACTGCTAATCTCACTAACTACCAGACTCTGGGAACGAGGGTACAAGCTTCAAGAGTCTCCCAAAAGGTCCTTCATCCCAAGGGAAGAAAGATTCCCTGGGAGGATCATATCCACTGCAGAGCCCTAAACCAATGTAGAGCCTTACACCAAAGTGGCACAAACAACCCCCATCCCAGACAGTGGTGTTGCACGATGCTCTGAGGACCCTACCAAAAGATGTACATCCTGAATCTAGTCCCTCTGAATGAGAGCCATTCAACGAGCCTTCCAACACACCAACCTCATGAAAACAAAGTTGAAAAAAAATGTCCAGGAAACAAAGTTTGTCAAAGAAATAGCTAGGGGGTGGGGGCAGAGGTGCTCACATCCTCAGATCAAATACAAATGCTATTGGCTCACTCTGACCTCATAGCCCACCTGGCCCCTCTATACACAAAACCTGACTGGAAATTAACAATACTTTCTGAGAATCCAGGACTGGGTGATCTGCCACATGCAACAGAAAAGGCAGGCCCTGCTCCCTCTTCCAGTGGATGTGGCTGTGACCTGTCTGACTTGACAGTTACTCCTCAGAAATCCTTCAATGACACCATCTACAGATACCCACGGTGGCTCCACATCACCACTCATGTGCTGATTTCAATTAAAGTCACTGCAACACGCCTGGGCCCCAGTTGGAGGCACTGTCTGGGGAGGTGGAGGAGGTACCAAGTTCATCACTGTGAACAAGCATCAAGTACAGAGCCTCACCCGATTTCCAGTTCACTCTGGTTCATGTTTGCCAAGGAGATGTGAACTCTCAGAACCCTGCTCTTTCAGCCGCATCTACCCACTTGCTACCATGATGGGCTCCTATTCCTCTGGAAGCATAATTTGAAACAAACTCTTCTTGCGTTGGTTTTGGTGTTTTATTACAGAAAAGAAAAAAGTCGTACAAGATCACCACTAGAGGGCACCCTGACGATTTCTCTTTGGTGGCTGCTTGACATGTATCTGGAATGCTACCTATTCCTAAAAGCAAGTGTGACTGTGGAGGAGGGAGAGAAGTAATTCAATCCCCAGTTGCCAACACAATAAAAGGCCTCCAAAAGCTCTGAGATTCAGGAAGGACAGTGACTAGTAGAAATGGCTGGCAAGCTTAACAGGAATCCAGAGCTGATCCTGAGGAGGGATTTGGGGAACCAGACACCTTGCCCCTCCTGTCTACAGCTACATCCTCATGCCAGAGAAATGGCATATTTTCTTTTTCCCATAGGGACAGCTCAGTGAGAGTTTGGGATATGGCTCCCACCCAGCAGCTAGTCCTTTCATTCTGTATAACAGCTCCTTCCCACCCTAGCCAGCCACATGGTGCCCCCCACAGAAGACAGGAGGCTCTGGTTCCTAAAGCAGGGAACAGGACAGTCCTCACACAGGCTCATCTAGGAGGCAAGTACAACTCTCCACCTCACCTTTGCCCAATGGTGGGAAAGTGGGCACCACCAGGCCATAGGACAGTCACCCAATCTGGCTATGAGATGAAGGAGAAGACATGCACTTCATGAAATAAAATGAGGGTATCACTATACATGCAGAATTAAAATATTCTACAAGACAACAGCTTCACATGGGAAACAAATGCCAGAGGCCAAGGAGGTGTGTGGCTCAGTGGGTAAAGGGCCTGCCGTGCAAGGAGGAAATCTGTGTCTGACCCAGTACTCAGACAGAAAAGTAGGGTGTGTGTCGCTTTTGATGACAGTAATGGGGAGATGAAGACAGGATCACTGCAGCTCACCAGCCAGCCTGCCTAGCTAAACTGAACCCAGAGATACCATGAATGAAGAGACCTTGCTTTGGAAAAAGAAGGTGGCCAATGAGATTGCTTGGTGGACAAAGCACTTGCTGGGCAAGTTTGAGGACCTGTGTTTGATCATGGAACTCAAGGAGGGGAACACTGCTTCCACAAATTGACCTATGACCTCCCTGTGTGTGCTGTGGCACACTTATTCACACACACAATTCATTTAAAAAAAAAAAAAAAAAAAAAAAGCAAAGTTTAGATTTTGGGGGTCTGGCAAAACACTTCAGTGGTTAAAGGTGCTTCCTACCTATTTAGGTACAAAGGAAATACCATTTCCCCAAATTCTGGTGGTTAGCCAAAAGCCAGCATTCATCAGGAACTTGGTTTTTTGTTTTGTTTTTGTTTTTCAAGACAGGGTTTGGAGGCTATCCTGGAACTAGCTCTTGTAGACCAGGCTGGTCTTGAACTCACAGAGATCCGCCTGCCTCCGCCTCCTGAGTGCTGGGATTAAAGGCGTGAGCCACCAAGGAACTTGTAAAGCCAGTACCTCTCTAACACAAGGAACCATATTTCTCTTATCACTGGCAGAAGAGATAAATGGCTACCTGTGGTGTCTATTACCATACTAGAGCACTTGCTGGCTGCCAGGCTCTCTCAGCATCACAAGTACCTATTATAAACTTCTCTGTCCCCAGCCGTTCCTTATAACCCTGCTAACCTATATGGGCTGTACCCCATTTTATGGCTTCCTCTCTTGGTCCTCTTTCTGTTTTCCTCTCTCTCCCTGCCAGGCCAGGCCTCTTTTGCTGGCCATTGTCCAGTCTACTTTCTCTCCCTGCTCTGGACTCTTCCAGATGCTATGGCTGTTCTCTTCCTCATATCTAGAATAAATATCTCCCCTTAGCCTGGCAGTGGTGGTGCACACCTTTAATCCCAGCACTCTCGAGGCAAAGGCAGAGGAAGGCAGATCACTATGAGTTGGAGACCAGCCTGATCTACAGAGCGAGTTCCAGGACAGGCTGGGAAAACAAAAACAACAACAAAATCAAACAAACATACAAAATAAAAAAGTCTCCCTCCTCTTTGCTACTGTATTAGGACTAGTCTAGAACAGAAATGTACTAAAATCTAATTTATTTTCCATTTTGAGCAACAATCCATTACTTTTTTTAGAACATCAGATCTCGTCCGGTGGCGGTGCCCCACACCTTTAACCCCAGCACTCAGGAGGCAGAGGCAGGTGGATCTCTATAGGTTTGAGACCAACCTGTTCTATAAAGCAAGTTCTAAGACAGCCAGAGTTGTTAAACAGAGAAACCTTGTCACAAAAAATAAAACCACTCAGTCCTCCTCCAGACTGTTCCTCTTGGCTATCTGTCACATGGCAAGTCTGAGTGATCCCACACCCAAAGAGAGAAGTAACATGTGGGAAGTGAAGTTGCTTCCCAGAGCAAGGGAAGGGACAGGACCTATGTGCTCTGGAGCAGGGGTGAGGACAAGCATGGCAGAGTTCACTTCACTTCTCTAGGTTCAAAGAGACTCACAGACACTTCAGGGTAGGGACCTGCAGAAGGACACAGTAACCAGTGCTCTGCTGAGCGGAATACCTGGGCCGTCAGTGTGAAGGGTCACATGAGTACTACTCTAATATTTAGGAGAAAGTTGATCCCATTACAGACCCTGACAGGATTTGCTAAAAACAATGTTGTGCATGTGAAATAGGCTTACCTCAAAATTCACAGGCAAATTCCGCTTCAGTGCAATCTCAAACACTTGGCTTATTTCTGATTTATTGAGGTTTTCTTCTTCTAATTCTCTTCCATTCATCTACAGAAGAATTGTTATGAGTCAACTCTGAGGAGCTAGGTAGGGTGGTAACTTATCTGAGCACTCAGGAGTCAGAGGAAGGAGTCTGAGTTTGAGGCCAGCCTCCTCTACAGAGTAAGTTCCAGGACAGCCAGGGCACACAATGTCGAAAAGATTAAGGGTGGGACTGGGGGGGAGGGGCACAACAACTTTCAGTCAGGCCAGCTACAGAACTACAGTCACTGAGCCTCAGCTCTACAGAGTTAACAACGGACTAGAGATGGAGGCCACATGGAATTGAATCTTAAGCCTCATGTCACCCACTCTCCAAATGCAGCTAGTAAACCCACCGTGATAAGCCACAGCAGCACCTTGGGGTGCAATGGGCCTGGCAGTGCTGTAGAAGACACCAGTGCTTCTGGGGAGAGTCAGCATGGCTAAGTCCATGAGCCAGAGCCAGTGGGAGAGAGCTCCCTCTTGTGGTAGGTGCACAGCATACTATAGAGGCCCTGGAAACCACACACACTGCAGGGGGCAAACAGCCAAGGCACAAACCAATAAAGTTCCCTAAACCAGGGTAGAGTCCACCTCGGTACCAATGTTCACCAGTCCTCCTGCCAGGAGGGGTCAGGGGCCCAGGCCACCTCTCTTTGAGCTGATAACAAGGGTTCTACAGAGTTCAGCAGACACTGTGGAGGGGCTAGCCCAACACAACACCTACAGACCTGGACCTGGCCAGAGCTGCTAGATTCATGCTGCTGCGTTCTTCTGCCAAATTTATCAACTTCTGTTTCCAGGATTAGCCCTAACAGGACTCCTGGCTGAACTTCCAAACAGGCCATAGCAGGGCTAGCCAGACTTTGCTGTGAGCTTAGTTCATCAAGCAGACCCGCCCACAAGAGAGCTTGAATGAAAGCCATAAAGGTCAAGTAAGATACGATAAGCAGAGCTCCTGGCACTAACCCACAGACACCATCAGAGACACTCCGGAACAGCACACCTAGTTATCCCTGACCCACAAGCAGTGCTCCCCACTCCCCCAACAATGCCCTTCCTTCCCAGCCAGGGCTCTCTCTATTGCAGCCTCATCAGCACCATGTGCCCAGTGCTCTGATGGCTCCTTACTCCATCCCCAACAGGAAGAGCCCTGGACACCTTTTCCTCAGGAGCTTGCCATATTGCCAAGGTGGACTCAAACTCTGGGATTCAAGAGACACTCCTGCTTCAGTCTCCTAATCAGCAGGAGCAGAGAGGCACACGACTCCCTGGCCTTTGTGTCTGCTTCTTAGGGCCCAGTTCTTAAAGCCCATCTTCCTACAAAGTGCCTTCGGAAGCTGAAGATCTAAAATGTTTGGTTTGAAATTTAACTAACTGTGTGAGGGAGCCAGACCACCTCAGATGTCATCCTCAGCCCCCACCCAGCTTTGAGACAGTCTCTCACTGGCATGGTCAAGCAGCTACTGACAGACAACTTCAGAATTACTCTTCAGCTGGGCAGTGGTGGCATACACCTTTACTCCCAGCACTCGGTAGGCAGAGGCAGGTAGATCTCTGTGAGTTCCAGGACAGATTCCAAAGCTACACAGAGAAAGCCTGTCTCAAAAAACAACAACAAAACAAAACAAGTGTCTGTGAGTTTGAGACCAGCCCTGTCTACAAGAGCCAGTTCCAGGACAGCCTTCAAAGCCATAGAGAAACACTGTCTCAAAAAAAAAAAAAGAACCAGTCTCCATTTCCTATCTGTATTTTGCCTGTATGTATGTCTGTGAAGGTATGGGATTTCCTAGAACAGAAGTTACAGACAGCTGTGAGCCACCATGTGGGTGCTGGGAACTGAACCTGGGGTCCTCTGGAAGAAGTCAGTGCTCTTAACTGCTGAGCCATCTCTCCAGCCCAAGGATACTCACTCACGCTTCACCAAACTGTGAAGGAAATGCAAACAGTCCCTGCAGAAACCTGCAGAGGGCCACTAAATAGGAACCAGAGGGAGCAAAAGCATGCACCATGTTCTGGGATAGTATGCTAGCAAAGACAGCAGGCATTTCTACAGAAATTCTCTTAGCCACAAATCAGTGGATTCTAGCTGGATGTGGTAGTTCACAGCTTTGATTTCAGCACTCAGGAGGCAGAGGCAAGCAGACCTCTGTGAGTTCGAGCCCAGCCTGATCTAACATTGCCAGTTCTGGCTAGTCAGAGCTACACAGTGAAAGGGGGAGGGGGGGGACACCACACACACACACACACACACACACACACACACACACACACACACACACCAGCAGCTCCAACAGCATGGGTGTCAGCACTGAGAGAGTCCCCACCCTCCCAGCACACGCCACCATGCTTGTGTCACTCACACTGCAGAGTAAGAAGAAAGGAAAGGCCGCTCAGCCTTCCTGCTGAGACATTAGGAGACACTCTCTCTCCAGGCCACAGAATCTTAATGGCTCTCACCCAGTAACTATAGGCAGTGTCAGCAACAGTGTGACAGTGTGAGTGTGTCCCAGGTCTGTGTCCACCTACCTCCAGCCTCTCGGGTGGAGGCTCATTCTGCAGAGTCCTCAGTGCTCTGGCAGTGGCATCGTGTTTCACAGTTTGTCTCATCTTTCCTTTCCCGTTAAACTGCTGTCCTCCCACAGAAAGCTCAACTTGGTAGAGTAACGGCGGAACTGGAAATGGGTAAAAGTACCTACAAATACAGGATGGGGCTTGAGTTTCCGGTTGGCAAGTCACCTATGCCTTCTTCGGCAAATCCCACATTTCCTGTACTCTGGTCTCATCACTGTGTCTGTCCGTAGCTAGAAACACCTGCTCAGCACAATGGAGGCTGCCTCAAAGCTCACACTGGCCCGCACCTGCTGCACAGTCTGAACAAGCAGGGTCAGAGTCACACTGATGTCAAGCTCACAGCTGACAAATGGTGTGCAAGGCTGTGCTGACAGGGTCCAGGAGGGATTGGGTGCCAGCTCAGGCAAACGTAGCTCACTTGACTCTTGAGCCTTCAGTCTGAACTTGCATGAAACCTTTTAGAAAGGGCCCTCATTGCTGACATTGCAGCAGCACCAAGTCCAAGAGTCTGCTTCCTTCCACTTCAAAGTCCACAGTTTGGAGGCTTAACCCTTCTCTACCTCGGTCAGTAGAAGGGAGGGATTTCATCACTGACATCACTAACATCTCACTCCTGACAGGCTCCCAGGCAGCAGGAGATCTTTCTGCCTCCATCTCCTGAGCGCTGGGATTACAGGCCCTCTGCAACCACACTAGGTTCTGGCACATGTCTTGTTAGTGTTGGTAGTATACAAAGCACACAAGTAGAAAAAAGTGAGTAGAGAGCCTCCCATGCTCACAGCATGCACTGCAGGGTCCCCAGAAGCAAAGGAAACACTGTGGCCAGGCAGTGGGTGAGTGCAGCTGCTCGGGAGGAGCCTGCTCAGACCCGCCACAAAGGCAGTAGCTGAAGCAGAGGTTGCCAAGACGACACCAAAGGCACACCTTAACCCAGGTGGTGGGCCTCAGTCAGACCAAATCGAGACTCATGTCACAATTTACAGACATCACTTAGGTAAAGACCCAGCTATTTCCACCGCAAGCACATACCTGGGGGGATAGGCACCTCCGCGCATGCCATAGCTGTAGGTGGACTGCATCCGGGAGTGGGGGTCCACGGGCTTATACATTGGTTTTCTTTCCAGTTTCACACAAAGTGCATTGAGCTCAGTGGTAGGAGCTATACTTTCTGCAACACAAAAATCACACCAAGAACAGTTTCAGGCCCCGGACATAAATGAAGCATGGCCCTAAGTCAGACCCAGAGAATGTATTGCAAAGAGCCAAGTACACTAGCTACCCCTGGACATCCATCAGGAAACCCAAACCCACACACTGTACAGAACCACAGGAAAAACCTAGGAAGGGTGAGGCAAGTAGATTGTCTGGAGAAGGCAAATAAGGACCAGAGAACATCCAGATGTGTGTGCCCTGACATTACAGCGCAGCTGCACTATGGCCACAGACGACAGGAAACCCAGTTTTGTTTTCATGCACATCAAGAGGGAGTATTTACCTCAACATCGTCGACAGGAGAAAATACAGACTAGGGCTAGAGATGGTGCTCAGCACTAAGAGCACTGTGGTCCCCTCGTAAGACCAGCTCAGATCCCTGCAGCGCCGTAAGAAGCCTGGCTCTCACGCACGCCCTAACCCCAGCTCTGATAGGATTGCTGGCTTCCAACCTAGCTGAGAACATGAGCTGGGGTTTTAGGGATAGGTCCCATCTCTAATAAGTAGGCAGAAGGTGACATGAGAAATCACCTGATGCTATCTTCTGAATTCCACACATAGCACACAATCCACACGCATGTGCACACACACTGTCACAGAAACAAACAAGACATACATCACTCACCTTTAAATTTGCTCTCCTACGTCACCCAATTCATAAATCTTCACAAACCATTAAAACAGCCTGGAAAGATTACTGTCACTGCACAACCCACATTTTAAAATGACACTGTGAGTGGGAGGGGGAGTGGGCTGGGCAGAGGGCTCAGCCATCAAAAGCACAAGCTGCACTTCCAGGACCAAGGGTTAATTCTTTGCACCCACAAGTGGCCTCACAACTCTGTAACTCCAGTTCCAAAGGATCTAACACCCTCTGCTGGCCTCTGGAAGCACCAAGCAACAATGGTATGCAGGTAAAACACCTATACACATAAATCAATTAATTAAAAATAAGAAAATATCCCTTTCGGACTTTGGAGATGACACAGTAGGTTAAGGAACTTGTTGTCAAGCCTGAAGATCTAAATACAATCCTAGGCACTCTCACGGTAGATGAAAAGCAATGACAGCAGGTTGTCTCCCACCTCACATACAGCACTGTCATACAAACACCCACACACATACACAATAATAAACAAATCTTTAAAACAAACACTTTCACTGGGTCTAGTGAAATGGGCCTATAATCTCAGCACTAGGAAGGCTAAGACAGGATTGTAAATTTGAGACCAGCCCGAGCTGCCTATCTCAAAAACAGATACAGAACAATAGCAAACTCGACTAATGTCCATGAAAACCTGCGTTTAGGGGCTGGAGAGATGGCCTGGTGGTTAAGAGCACTGGTTGTACTTCCAGTGGACCCAGGTTTGATACCCCAACACCACATTGTGACTCACAACTGTAACTCCAGTTCCAGGGGATCTAACACCCTCTGCTGGCCTCCAAAAGCACCAAGTGTACAGACATGCATTCAGGCAAAACAGCAATACACATAAAAATAAATAATCTTTAAAAAAGAAAAAAGAAGAAGAAGAAGGTGGGTGGTGGCACACACCTTTAATTCCAGCACTCAGGAGGCAGAGGTAGGTGGATCTCTATGAGTTAGAAGCCAGCCTGGTCTACAGAGCGAGTTCCAGGACCAGCTCCATACCTACTGAGAAATCCTGTCTCAGAAAAAAAGAACTATCAATGGGCTTGCACAATCAAATGAGTTATTATTCTTCCTCATTAACAGAATTCCGTGTGTGTGTGTGTGTGTGTGTGAGAGAGAGAGAGAGAGAGAGAGAGAGAGAGACAGAGAGAGACAGAGACAGACAGACAGACAGAGACAGACAGACAGACAGACAGACAGACAGACAGAGAGACAGACAGACAGACAGACAGACAGACAGACAGACAGACAGACACAGAGACAGACAGAGAGAGAGAGACAGGCAGGCAGGCAGGCAGGCAGGCAGGCAGACAGACAGAATTGCATTTTAAGAACAATCTCAACTGCTGGGTAGTGTTGGCACACACTTTATTCCCAGCAATGGAGAGGCAGAGGCAGGCTGATCTATGGGTTCCAGGTCTACAGAACAAGAAACCCTCCATCACTTTGCGCAGCTGTGACCCACAGACTCTCTCTAGAGCAGGGAAAGACCACCACAGAGAAATCAAAGGAAAAAAGGAAAGGTTCACCTGATACGGCCACAATTCACCACCAAGAACCCACCAGCCAACCCCTCCATCAAGTGCCTCCCAAACACATCCCTAGGTTCTTAACTTGCTTCTTGTTTGAAGCACTATGACCTACTAGCTTGCATGCAGGCAGTATTTCCTCACCCTTGTTAATCATCAGGAGACATAGAAACAACAGTGCTGATTGACAGATTATAAACAATACTGCCATACTAACTTGACATGATTCTACTAAAAACCTATGCTCTTGACAAGCTACACAGCCTTACCCAGGGAAAAGGTATTTTCATCTTGTTTTTCCTCAAACTTAAAAACTGTATGGGGGGCTGGGGAAATGGCTCAGCAGGTAAGAGCACTGACTGCTCTTCCAGAGGACCCTGGTTCAATTCCCAGCAACCACATGGCAGCTCACAACTGTCTGTGACTCCAGTCCCAGGGGACCTGACATCCATGGAAAAACACCAATACACATAAATTAAAAATTAAAAAAAAAACAAAAAACAAAAAACAAAAAACGTATGGGGACAGTATGTCCCCATGACTCCTCTGAGACCACCCAGTCGGGGACTGCAGATTGGGATGGTGAGGAGGTATCTATCACTCACAGTGCAGGACCTATGCTTAGGAAGCCATCACACCATACTGGGCAGCGTCAAGACACACTTTTGAAAGGAGACTCTCTTGGCACAGACAAACAGCCAGATTCCTACTTTCTTGTACTTTGAGGAAATTCTTCTTCCCCAGCTGTGGCAGTAGCTGTGTGCTAAAGTTTTAAAAACTAGTCCCATCAGCTTCCCAGGGTGTCTCTCCAATATCAGCTACAATGAGAGCACAAACCTGCCTCCAGAGCTCAGGTGAGCAGCCTGCTGCTGACGGCTGCCCCACTTGGACCTTGGGCACTGTTAATGGATATGGTTTAAAAGGACTGTTAATCACCATAGAAAGGTATTTCTTCACTTTTCCTTGTTTTGAGACATTCTCACTATTGTGTCCAGGCACCAACACAAAGAGACACTTCAAATACAATTATGCTAATACTGATTTTTATTTTGTGTGTATGGCTGTTTTGCATACATGCATACCACATGGGCATGGTGCCCGAGGAGTCCGAAGAATGTGCAGGATCCCCTCCTGAAGTTACAAACAGTAGAGAGCTGCCATATGGTGCTGGAAACTGAGCCCGAGTCCCCGCAAGAACAGTGACTGCTCTAACTACTGAGCCATCACGCCAACTCCTAATCAGGCTTTTATCAGTCACCAAATAAACTGAAAAGACTGACTCAGTGACAAAGCAAGGGGCTGGAGATAGCTCAGATTAAGAGCACACCATGCTCATTCGAAAGACCTAGATGTAGTTCTTAGTATTCAGCTCACAACTGGGGGGCTGTCCACTCCAGATCCTACACAATCTCATGTGACTTGGAGTTTTAAAAGCCAAATACTCCAAAGAAAGCAGGTCTTTTCTTGATCCATTCTCCAAGGGTAAAACTAGAGGCAATTCTCAGTGAGCCAGGTGTGGTGGTACACATTTGGGAGGCAAAGGTAGGCAGATCAGGGCCTTCAAGACCAGCCTGGTGCAGGAGAAGACAGGCAGGGCTACACAGAGAAACCTTGACTCAAAAAAAAAAACAAAAAACAAAAGAAGGCCGGGGCGGTAGTGGCGCACGCCTTTAATCCCAGCACTCAGGAGGCACAGGCAGGCGATCTTTGTGAGTTCGAGACCATCCTGGTCTACAAGAACTAGTTCCAGGAAACCCCCCAAAGCCCCAGAAAAACCCTTTCCCCCCCCCCCCCCCCGAAAAAAAAACCCAAAAGAAATAAAAGTAAAAGCAATTCTCTAAAATCTGTGTGGTCGTATTCTTACTCTTACCAGTTTGAAAATGTGTATTTTGAGCCACAGTCTCATGTTCGGCATATAAAAACCAGAACGCCTTCTCTGTACAAGCCATCAGGGAAGGATGGAGAGAAGTCACTTATCCCTAAGCTAGGCCTGCTCAGACACAAACATGACTCTGGCTGAACCCTGCTGACAGCTCACTCATTCACAAGGCAAATTTGGATTTTTTTCCCCTTGGAACTGAAAAGTAACCAAATTCACAGACATCATCAGCAGTATGACTTCTAGTCTCCCAGGGATGGAAAACTGCAAAGCATACCAGGAGTATATGCTTAGAGAAGACACAACCAGAATCATTCCCGACCCTCCTGTAGCCAAATAACCTAGGAAAGTATTATTATGTCTTCCAAAAGCAAGAACAGGGGCTAGGGATGTCATTTATTGAAACAGTGAGTTCCAGTTTTACACAGAAAAACCCTGTCTGTAGGGAGAGATCCTGGATACCTGTACCACTGACCACGCCTATTTGGTCACAGGTACAGAGGGATAGGATAAAGAGCAAGGAGAGGAGGCACTCTCTCTTTCCCCAGGTTCAGGCCAGGTGTCGGAGGCATCTGGGACTAGACTTCTCAGAGTGCTAAGTCTGGTTATTGGCTCCTCATGTGAATATCCCTGCTTAATAAACTGCCAGTTAATAACCTATCCCATGTTCGATCTTGTTCCTTTTCACCTGTCTTGACAAAGCAAGAAAACAATGTTTTTTAAAGGACATTTTTTGTTTTTTGTTTTTTTTCTTTTAGACAGGGTTTCTCTGTGTAGCCTGTCCCGGTGCGTACTCTGCAGACCAAGCTGGCCTCGAATTCACAGAGATCCACCTGCCCTCTGCCTCCTGAATGCTGGGATTAAACTGCTCACGGTATTTCATCACAGCAATAGTAACCCAAACTAACACATCAAGTTACCCTCTGATTGCCAAATGCATGCCACAGCACACACTCACACACATAAACACATGCAAACAAATAAAATATGAAATTTTTTGCTGATGGTACATGCCTTTAATTTCAGCACTCAGGAGGCAGAAGCAAGCGATTTCTTAGTTTGAGCCCAGCCTGGTCTACAGAACAAGTTCCAGGACAGCCAGGGCTATACAGAGCAAGCCTGTCTCAAATAAATAAATAAATGAAAAATTTCAATAAAAATTAATGAATGCTAATGACTCTGATCTTGTAGTAAATCTGGCCACCCTTACCTGATAGAAAACCTTGCTGATGCACCACAAAGGGACTCAGACAGAAAAGAGTTCTGTATCAGTTTTGTGAAGTCATTCAAAGGGCAAAACTTTGATAGAACAATGACCGTCCCAAGTGGTTTTTCCTGCTCATTTCTTCTGGCCAGCTGCCAAGAGTCTAAAACAGAGGTTTGGGTTGGAGCAGTTACGTGTCTATCTACCCCATCCAACCAGGTTCCCCATCTGGACACAGAAGTACAGAGGGTAATACTTCCTTCTGCTTCTTAAAGGTAAAGCAGGGCATCCCAGCACTACCTCTGGAAGCTGCCTGTCAGATGGGAAGCCAGCGGAAAAGAGGCAAGAATGGAGCCATTCACGTTGGACCCTTCTTTCCAGCTATGAAGTCATCTTCAACTGTGCTGGAGGATGTGATTCAGGGCTGAGAGCAGGTGTGGAGAGCAGGCAGCTAGCAAAGACTGAGCAAAAACACCAGTCTTTGTTCAGAATTTGGTTCCCAGAGAAAGCAGCAGATGCAATCTGAATTTGTACTTCAACGTGAGACATGGCCAGTCTCACAAAAATGAACTTGCGGACTAACAGCTTTCAGTGCAGCTAAGTCAGTGTTAGGAAAGTAGGCAGGGACCCGGCGTTGGTGGTGCACGCCTTTAATCCCAGCACTTGGGAGGCAGAAGCAGGCAGATCTCATGAGTTCAAGGCCAGTCTGGTCTACAAAGCAAGTTCCAGGGCAGCAATAGCAGTTACATGGAGAAACCTAGTCTCACAAAACTAAAAAAAAAGAAAGAAAGAAAAAAAAAATTAAAGTCAGGTCACAGGTCAGGCATAGTGGCTCACACCTTTAATCCTGGCACTACAGGAGGCAGAGGCAGGTGGATCTCTGTGAGTTGGAGGCCAGCTGGTCTACACAATGATTTCTAGAGTAACAAGGCTATAGAGACCCTAGTCCCAAAACAACAAAATAAAACAAAAAATTGGGGGTCTGGGGAGTTGGCTCATCGATTAAGAGAACTTGCTGCTCTTCCAGAGGACTGGGTTTGTTGCCAGCACCCCCAAGATGGCTCATAGCCATGGATAACTCCCAGTTCTATGGGATCTAATGTCTACTTCTGACTGCCATAGGCACTGCATAAGCATCGTGCACAAACATACATGCAGATAAGACTCATACACATAAAATAAAAATTTAAAGGCAGGCGGTGATGGCCCACACCTTTAATCCCAAGGCCAGCCTGGTCTACAGAATGAATTCCAGGATAGCCAGGACTGTTTCACAGAGAAACCCTGCCTTGAAAAACCAAGGAAACAAACAAATAAATAAATAAGTTGAGAGAGTAGAGCAATCCTATACACACTAAGGGTCATTTTTCAAAAGGCAGAGGAAGTTTTAGGGGAGATAAAAGTACTTTAAATAAAAAAGCATCATGGAAACAGGCAGCTAGGCAGTCTCCAGCATATACCAGCTAACCAGCCGTTCCCTGGCAGAGTAACCCCACAATGATTTTTACCACCAGGTCTCTCCCACCAATAAGCCACAGCAAGCAAATTACTAGGAGCAAACCCCCAAAGAAGTGCCACAGTGACTAGATTGAATGACCTCACTTGCCTCAGTCCCCAGTGTCGCATTGCACTGCCTTGTTTACTTTGGGAGTGGAACAAAAAACTGAGGGTACCCATCCAAGATGCAGACTGTTCTGAGTAGACAAGCTGCCAGTGTGGACACACAAGCCAGCAAGGGTTCAGAAATCAGCTGTGCCCTTGTTCTGTTTTTTCTTTCAGCTGCCCAATGAGAAAGAGCTCCCCCTCTCTCCCTGTCTTCCTAAAGTCTGCTTTACTCAGGCAGCCAGTCAGTTTACTCCTAACTTCAAACACAAGCCAGAGGTCACAGGCAGAAAAGGAATAAAACAAAGCCCATCCCAGCAGGATTACTCCACCCTGTAGCAGAACTTAAAGCTGAATGAATGCCTAAAAGTAGAAAGGGGGACCCAAAGGAATCCTTTTTTGCTCCTACTATATAAAGCAGGCCCACTGACATTTCCAACTCCAGTCATAAATATGTGAGGATTTTAGCTCAGAACGAAAACAGGCTTTCAATGAGACTGCCCCTAAAATGCTAGTCTCAAATACACCTCAAAGAGCTAACGAGTGGTTGAAATAAGTAGATAAAAACTGGAGAGAAAAAAAATATAGGTGGCTCAGTGAGTACTATTTGCCAGGCAAACATGAGGACCTGAATTTGATTCCCAGCACTCACAAAACACAGAACATCTTATCATCCCAGTGCTGGGGAGGTAAAGGCAGGAAGGAACCCTGAGGTTTGCAGGCCAGATGGTCTAGCCAAATCAGCAATTTTCAGATTCAAAAAGGAGAGCCTGCTTCAATGAATGAATGGGTATACTACAGGAGGAAGACCAGTGTCAAACTCTGGCCTGGCCACCACTGCCCCTCCATGACACATGGGAGAAGGGGCAGTTAGTTAAAACATAATATACAATACTTGATAAGCTTTAAATTCCCATGTAAGTCACACTAAAATTCACCAGGCTAGGGGTGGAGGTTAGTGAAGATGTACTTGCTGAGCATACAGAGGGCTCTAGATTTAGTCCTAGAGCCAGTCAAAAATATCAAAAATTAAAATAATAAAAAACACCAAACAATACTCATTTGTCAGTCACTCTTTAATTACTTGCTAATGTAGCCCTGGGTGTCATGTTTAAGCTAAAGAGAGAATGGGAGACACTGGTTATCAAAAGAAAACAATTCTGTTCCTCCAGGAACATCTCGCAATGGCTGGATATTTTTGGTTATTACAGTCGATTAATGCAAAAGGGCCTTATATATCTAAAGGGTAGAGGAACCAGGGGCACCAGTACAAACATCACGGTTGTGAAAAGAGAGAATGCACCGTGTAGTCAGTTACTCAGAGAACAAAGCTCTCCACTACTGGCATGTGTCAAGTTCAAAGCAGTCCTAGGGACCATGGAATTCCAACTGCTGCAGCTGAAACCCTACATGGAAACTGATTCTCTTTAAACCTGCTCTTCAGGGTTGTTTCCTAGCAGGTAGGTGAAAGATCAAACTGTCTGTCTCTCATAGAAAGCTTTGAGCACATGTTCCCTCAGGCCTTATCGGACACCTCCTTCTCCTGCATTGTCTACTGAAGGAACATGCTTGTCTTCCTTTCAGGCTGACATTTACTGACACACAAGCATCTCAACCGCACAGGGGAGCTTAAGCGTTACAGATCTGCACCTTCAGAGCACAGGGGCCTCACTCATTATCAGCTTGCTGACACAGAACATCATAAGAGCTGCCAGGCCTGGTAGCACACATCTTAAATCCAAGCACTGGGGTGGCAGATGCAAGCGCATCTCTGTTTGAGGTCGGCCTGGTCTAAATATGGACTTCTAGGCCAGCCAGGGCTACAGACACCCTGTCTAAAAACAAACAAGCAAGCAAACAAAGTTTCACATGGTCTCACTGAGAAAAATGACACACATCCATAATCTCAGCACTCATATGAGACAAGAAACACATTTGATGACAACCTGAACTACACAGTGAGGTCTTGTCTAAAAATAAGTAAAATTATGCACACATACAAACACACACATAATACACACATACACATGCAAACACATACCTTGATTGGCAAATATCACTTTACAAGTGTAAGCACTTCTTCTGGATGTGCAGAAAGAACATGAGCGTGTAGACGATTACACGTAGCGTGCTACAAAGCGGCTGGGTATAAATGTGCCCTCCACACTCAGCAGTGAACCTGGGACCACCTGATGACGCCGAGCCCACCAGCAACAGTTCAGAGAGGCCGCCATAATTATCTGCAATAGCCATTAGTCTTACGGACTTTCAAACACAATTTCCAAGTCTTATTGGCATACACTTTTGTCTTGGTTTGGTTTTGTTTTTTTGTTTTTTGTTTGTCTTTAAAAAAAAAAAAAAAAAAAAAAAAAAAAAGGCTGACTCTACCTATTCTAGGCTGGTCTCGTGGCAGTCATCCTGCCTTTACCTCTCCAGTGCTGGGAATCATAAGCATGTGGAGGCAAGCTCAGACAAGCCCTTAAAAAAATACCGGTGTGGGGTGTGGGGGGTGTGTATGTGTACACCTGAGTGCAGATGACCATGAAGGCCAAAGACGGCATCAGGGCTCCTGGAGCTAGAATTGCAGGTGGTGAACAACCAACCTGGGATGCTGGGAACTAAATTCAGGTCCCCTCGAAGCATAGGAAGAACTTTTTTTTTTTTTTTTTTTTTAAGTTTTTCGAGACAAGGTTTCTCAAGTGTAACCTTGGCTGTCATGGAACTGGCTTAGTAGATGAGGCTGGCCTCAAACTCACAGAGAACCACCTGCCTCTGCCTCCTAAGTGCTGGGATTAATGGCAAGCATCAACACCACCTGGCAGGAAGAACTCTTAACCACTAAGCCATCACTCCAGTCTAAGACCCTATTGGAGACATTTTTTTTTTTTTCTAATTGCAATTCAGTTGTTTCCTAAGAGTAAAACTCACCTCTCAGTGATGTTTTCCCCTCCCTTCCCAGGAAACAATCCACTGACTCCACTATTATCCAAACACCTATAGCAAGGACAGTCATGAGCACCGATGTGTGTCAGTCATTAGCATCCTACACAATAATCCCTAAACAGATTGAAGGTCAACATCAAGCCAGTGTTCCACCATAGTCCTAGATACATACATAATTGCACAAGAAAGAAATATAACCAAACAACTATAAAACATTCCACTATTAGCTGGTCGGTGGTGGCACACGACTCCAAAGCTACAGAGAAACCCTGTCTTGAAAAATAAAAATCCGTGCCAGGTGTTGGTGGCCCACGCCTTTAATCCCAGCACTCGGGAGGCAGAGGCAGGCGGATCTCTGTGAGTTCGAGACCAGCCTGGTCTCCAGAGAGAGGGCCAGGATAGGCTCCAATGCTACACAGAGAAACCCTGTCTCAAAAAGCCAAAAAAAAAAAAAAAAAAAAAAGAAGAAGAAAAGAAAAAGAA